TCTGACAGGTTTCCGCCTTACACAGGTTCCGGCTTTCACAGGTTTTACTGTACTTGTAAAATCAGAAAACCAACCTAGTAAAAAAAAGCCCCAAGTTCTCCATGGCTTTCCATACCCACTAAAGTACAAACTCATCACTTTGCTGTCTAAGCCTCTCTACAATACAGTCCCAACTATTTTCAGCCACACGTGCTTACCTTTCCTAAGGCTTATCAAGGTGGACTTCTTAATTGCTTCCCAACATAGTCCACATCTCACCTCAATGCTTTAGCTCCAACCATTTAATCTTCCTGGACCACACTGTCTACCAGTCCAAGTGCCACCATCCTTCAAAGTTCATGAGAAACACCCCTTTTTTATGAAATTTTTCTAACTTTGTGCTAACTCAGTCATCCCAATCACCAGATGTTATTTCTCCTTGTCTTTGACTCCAACAGAATTAATTTTAGCACTCATATTACTCTTGATACAATTTGCCTTAACTTTAACAGTTATCTGTTTTAATCCTTCTACTGGATTGTAGTCATTCAGGAAAAGGCTCTAGCCTTTAGTTCTTTCTCTAATACTGACACACTCCTTCCCAGAATTTAGCACATAATGAGTCTTTGAGAAACTGAATAAATTATTGTCACAAGGGATTAGTCTCTCGCCTTGGCCACAGGGAGGAGGAAAAGAGAAGGGGAGATGTTTCTCATTTGAGACTCAGCATGGAATTTCTCACAGAAACAATGAGATAACAAAACAAGTACTATTAGTAATCCATAAGATGTTTACGGACTTATATTTTATTCTTTTTGCCAGCTTAAAAAAATCTATCCATAATCGGTAGCTTAATTTCTATGGAAACAAAAATGTGCTTGGAATTCCCAAGAACCTACCTCTAAGAGAGTTTTTGGAGTATAAACCCAAATCAGTTGCCGTCGAGTTGATTCCAACTCATGACAACCCTATGTGTGTCAGAACAGAACTGCATTCCATAGGGTTTTCAATGGCTGTGATCTTTCAGAAGCAGACTGCCAGGCCTTTCTTCCGAAGTGCCTCTGGGTGGATTCGAACAGCCAACCTTTTGGTTAGCAGTCGAGAGCTTAATGATTTCTGCCACCAAGGGACTCCTTTTGATATACTTGTAGATAAGATATATTTCCCTTTAGGACAACATATATTACCACATTTGCTTAAGTCGGCCTTAAGCCTCTTTTGAAACAAAATATTGTTAATGACAACAGACATGGCAAAAGACAGAGGAAGAAGGAAAGCAGACGTTCTAAACATACTTGAGTAATTTCTAAAAGCTAAATTTAAAAGGGAAATCACTTTCTGATTAGGCAAATGAAAAAACTTTACTGCTTTCTTACTCTATCAGATTCTACCTTTATCAGGAAACTGAAACCTTAAGGTGAGAAAGTCGTTAAAGGTTTCTATTTTCCTTTCCCATGCAAGTCTTTAAATAATATTTACAATCACTGTGCAGATAGATAACCCACACATCCGTGTAGAAACACACCCAACTGTGTATATTTAAGGACAAAACTCTCCCTATGTGCTTAATGCTACACACTGCTTTACTGTGAAATAATCCTTGTCTTTACGAGAAATAAGGAGTCCTGGTGGCGCAGTGGTTACAGCACTCAGTGGGAGAAAGATATGGCAGTCTGCTTCTGTAAAGATTTACAGCCTTGGAAATCCTATGGGGCAGTTCTACTCTGTCCTATAGGGTCGCTATGAGTCAGAATCGACTCCATGGCAATGGTTTATGAGACATATGGTGAAGGTTCCTCTGTCAGATTTTGGTGGAGGAGGAGGGGCAGTTAGGACAGTTCTTAACACAGAATGGGACTAATTTCCCTATATGTATATATTTAAGTATTGCTATATTCATTCCACGAGTATGTACTGAGAACTGTGTTAGCTATACAGAAGAGTATAAGACACACAAGACACTTGCCCTCAATGCCCATAGGCTGCACCAGAAAGCACATACGTTCTACTGGAGAAAATGAATAGGTCCCTAGGGTGCAAAAGGACTGTACTTGACTACTAACCTAAAGGTTGGTAATTCGAACCCACCTAGTGGCATTGCAGCAGAAAGGCCTGGCAATTTGCTTCCGAAAAGATTATAGCCAAGAAAACCCGATGGAGCTTTGTTCTAATCTGTAACACACGGGGTTGCCATGAGTCAGAATTGATTTGACGGGTTTGGAGGAAATGAACAACAAACAAGTAAACAAATATAACAAGATAATTACAGATTATGGTTAAGAGCTGTAAAGGAGAGAAAATAAACAAAAGAGAGACAGGGAGGCAGGAAGGCTATTTAATAGTAGCAAAGGCTTCTCAGACACATTTAAACCAAGATGGAAAAGAAAAGAAGGACCTGGCCATGCACACCACCCGGGGAAGAGCCTTCCAGGCAGAAAGAAGTGAAAAGGTCCTGAGATGGAAACAGACTCAGTCTATCTGAAGAACATAAAAGAGGCAGTGTGGCCAGTCATGTTTTTCAAACCATGGGTTATGTTTATAGGTTAAGATGCCAATTTTGTGGGTCATTGCATTTTTTAAAAAGGAAGTCAAATAGAAAAAAATCACAGGGTCACATGCTTTCAGAGTAAGTACTCTTTCATGAACTTTTGTTTCAGTTATACTTGTGTGTACTGGGTTGCAATGTACAATGCATTTCTTCCTATGGGCGGTGTCAAATTGAAAGCCTCTGTGAGAGATAGTACTAAGCAAGGAGAGTAGTAACAGCTGAGGATGGAGAGGTGGGTAAGAGCAAGACCACTGCAGGCCTCCATAAAGAATTGGGGTTTTATTCTAAACACAGTGGGAAGGCACTGGAGGGTTTCAAGTTGGGGAGTGACACGATCATGGTGTAGCAGTAAGGTTACCGTAGTGAAAATCAGAAGACCTGAGCTCTAGCCCTGGCCTATCCACGAACACCAGGGATTTTGAGGAAATCACTTAAACTCTCTAGACCTCACTAGCTTCATTTTAAAATTGAGACATTTGGACCAAGATGACCTTTAAGAGCTTGTCTATTGCTAAATTTCTATGACTATATTCTGCTTCCTCTCTTAGGCATAAGTAAATTGGGGAGATACTAGCACTAGGTCAAGCTCTGGGTAGCTTCTTAAAATACTATAAACCCTTATAGTTTATACAAGAGTCACATTTCTATAGAAAGCAATTTTAGAATTATCTCTTTACTGGAACCAGTTATGTTATTAGAAATAAGATGGCTGGGCTAAAAGGGAATCACGTGCTTTTGCCAACTCTCTGGTGCAAAGCTTGAGTATGAAGGAAATTGGCAGGGAGGCATGAAAAGACTGACCAGATTACTGGGAACAGATTTCCTTACTTGTTCCAGGTATAATCTGTTGTTGTTAGGTGCCATTGACTTGATTTTCAATTCATAGCAACACCATGTGACAGAGCAGATTGCCACATAGGGTTTTCTTGGCTGTAGTCTTTATGGAAGCAGATCGCCAGGTCTTTCTTCCATGGAACGTCTGGATAGGTTCGAACCGCCAACCTTTTGGTTAGCAGCCCAGCACTTAACCATTGCATCATCAGGGCTCCTTACTTATCTAGGGGAGTCTAAAGTTGCAAGGAACCTCAGCTGAGCACTAAAGACGTTGAAAGTTAACTCCTTTCCCAGTAACCAAAATGACTACTGAGTAAAAAGACTCATTTAAAGTCTACTACATGCTAAGCCATTAGACAGCCTGATATATGCTTTTTCACTTAATCCTCCTAACCATATTATTCCCATTAAACAGACATGGAAACAGGGGCTCAGAATAGATAAACTATTAAGTGGCAAAGTCAGGATTAAAACAAACAAAAAACCAGTTGCCGTCCAGTCGATTCTGACTCCTGGTGACCTCAGGTGTTTCAGACTAGAACTGTGCTCCATAAGGTTTTCAACGGCTGAGATCTTTTGGAAACAGACCGCTAGGTCTTTCTTTCAAGGTGCCTCTGGGTAGATTCGAACCACAAACCTTTTTTTTTTTTTCCTTATGATTACGGGGTTTACTAGGGAAGTAACATGTTACAATTCAGGATCAAGAACAACTCAGGATACAGTTCTTCTAACAGGCCCTCAGGCACTCTGCCCCTTGGCTCTGCTCAGGCAAGCGTTACAAAGCTCTTCAGCTCCACCAATAAGGGCCTGGGGGCCTCCGCAGAAGTCTCCTGCCTGAAGGCGATCAGCTCTCTCACTCCATGGGTCATCATGCCCACTGTAGCTGCCTGCTTTGTGGGCTGGGAAGCCCACTACGCCATGCGGCACCGGTATCCTGTCGAACCACCAACCTATGCATTCTTTCTTAATTCTATATGTATAAAGAATTATCCTAATTTTTTCAAAGTTAATGTACAAGTATTATATCATCACATAAGTACCTAACAACCCAAGTATCTGTGACATCTGGACACAGAATGTCCAACCAGTAAATCAAATTTGGACTCACAGGTGCCTTGCTAGGTACAGTGAGAGATGAAAAGATAAGAGCTTGTTCCAACATTGCAGGGCCTACTCTGTGGGTAGCATGCTGGGTGGTATGAAGTGGAATAAGGCAAAACAACCAAGGAATTTGCATCTCCAATTTAAGTCCAAGTCAATAGTATTATGGCAGGTGCCAGGTTCATTTTCTGGACTGCTGCTGGTGAAAGGTCAGCAGAGGAACCATGGAGTGGACAGTTCACCTGTGCCCTGGGCCTAACAAGTGTTCGCTAAGTTCCATAAACAAGCGGAGATGCTAGAAACTCGCTGCTTTCCAACTTACACTAACCCTTTAAAGGAAGCAATGAACGTCCACCTGCCCAACTGGTGCAGGATGCACGGCAGGTTATGGAAACAAAAACCTCGCAAACGCGCAGCGCACCATCCCTGTGAGGGTCCAAAGTGTCCCTAATGCCGCCCAGATACACCCACAAACACCTCAGCAAAGTTGGGAACGCTCACTGCACGCCCGCCTCAACCCTGAGAACGCGGTACTCACCTGCCAAATACTCAGCTTCGAACCTCCGTCGGGTCTCTGCGATGAGCATGGCTTTAATCTGGGCCTGACTCTGGAGGGGAGACAGGGCAGGACCCTTAGACACCACACTCGCCATCCCGCTTCCCCCCAGCCCAGCCCACCTGTCCCCGGGCACCAGGCCCCTGGCCCTCAAAGGCGGCCTTCGGGGTCGGGGGGAGCCGGCAGCCGTGCAGCCGGTTCCTCACCTCGGCCATGGTCGTGCTCACAGGTGCCGTCGTCGCCGCCCGAATCTCTCAACACCAGCCAAGCGGTCCCAAGCATAGACAGAGGAGAGCGGGAGGAGGAGGTGGTCGCGTGACACCGGAAGGCGAGCGAAGGAGCCGCCACGCTGCCCAATCCAATGCGGTCGTCTGGGTCTGGGGCGGGACCAGGCAGTCAGCCTGACGCTCCATTCGCTGCTCATCTGAGTCCCGCCCCTCGACGTCCCCCGCACATGCGGCCCCGCCCCCGCCATTGGCCGGGCCGGCGCTTCTGCGCCAAGCTCCGCCCCTGAGAACACAGCGAGACCTTCGGTTTCACAACACTCCCCATAGGCCCCGCCTCCTCATCCTCCCTAGCAACCGTTTCCCGGCAGGCTCCGCCGGCTTCGCTCTCTTGGCGCGCGACCGGGCCTCCGGCCCGCGCCTCCCAGGATGCAGTGCGCTGGCGGGAGGTTCGGAGCTTTTGGCTGCTGCACCCCGGTAGGGCGCCGGAGAGGTGCTGGCTGCACGACCTGGGAGCAGGGGCGCGCTGAGGTAGGGCAGGCGCGTCTTTCCTTCTCAGCCTTTGCCGAAGCTGGGTTTACTCCCATTGTCCCCGCATTGCGGGAGAACGGGAGGGGAGCGGGCGACTGGGTCGTGCCTGAGTGAGCCGCGCCTGTGCCTGAGGACAGTGGCCTCGGAGAGGTCGTCGCCTCTGTCCTCAGGCCTTGTGAGCGCCCCTGAGTTAAGACCTATGCTCCAGAATCCCCACCTCCATTCCTAGTTTGATACTTTGTCAGGTTCCCGGCCTTGGACGTGCTGGTGGGAGGGACGCATCCGGCAGAGCCCCCTGGGGTCCTCTCTGGCCTAGGCACCCCGTTACGCTTCCCGTGACCTGGCCTGGGGCTCCCTTCTCGAAGGATCCAGTTGGCTCTCAGCCTCCTCAAAGTACCTTTGAGACGTTTTGGGGGGAATGTTTTTATGGTGGCAAGATTGCAAAGAACATTTTCTCTACCATGTCTATCCCACTTGGAGTGTGAGATAGTTGGCAAGGAAAATATCTTTGAAATCTTTAAAACAAGAGTGTAAGGTTAAATTAAAGGATGAAAAGTGCCCAGTGGTTATTAGCAGGGGCCCATGAACCAGTAAGCAAGGTATGCACGGGCTTACTTGTGTTTATTTACTAATCTGTAGTGCACAGTTTCACCTGTTTTTCACCACCTCAAACACTAATCTGTAGTGCACACTTTCACATGGGTTTCACCACGTCTTTGATGTGCCGAGCCATGAGTTAGATTTATAAAGTACTGGAGCAAATTTTATGGTTGTCCATTAAAAATGATAATTGAGAAGATCTTTAAACTCTGTGCCTCCGATTCTTCATCTGTGAAACGGGATAGTTTCATAAAGATGTTGCGATAAATAAATGAGTTGATCCAACATGTTTAGAATAGTACCTGGCACAGAGAAGGCGCTCAGTAAATATAGTCATCTTAGGTAAACACAAAATATTCAATGTTTATGTGTTTTTATTTATATAAGTAGTATACTGCAGTATACATTTTTCTGCAACTTAACTCATTTTTGAAATTTAGTCACAATGATACACGTAGCTGTAATTCATTCCTTTTAACTACTGTATAATATTCCATCTAATCAATCCTCTATTGGTAGTTATTGAGGCTTTTACTATTTTTTTATATTACAAATAACAGCACAGTGAAAATTCTAGAACAGTGTCCTTGTGCACATATGGGATTATTTCTCTGGATTCATGTTTAGAAATGAAATTGCTGCATATATGTATTTCATTTTACTGCCAATTTTTAAGTAATCTTAAAATAATCTCCTGATTGCTTTCTTCCTCCAGTCTCATCCTACTTCTGTCTTCAGCACTGTCACATACACTTGTAATTCATAAGTATATCCTGTGATTTCTATTTTTGAGATCTTTCAGAGGTTTATCATTGCTTATAGGAGAAAGTTGAAGTCCTTAGTATGATGTAAAAATCCTTCTTTAACTTAATCTTCCCTGATTTTCCAACTTGGTGTATCATCACTCCCCCACATTCACCTACATTTCAGGTATACTAGGTAATGTTGGGAAAGGGAAAGAGAAGATTGATTCTGGTTAAACCCCAACAAATGACTTCTAATTACAAAGGCAGAAAAAAGTTTTACCGGTGGACCTATTCTGTAGTCAAGTTAATATACTTAGGTTAAGAATGTCTGATAAATGTTGTAAAAAGGTCATCTATCACTGTTGTTTTCATAAGTTTGTTTAGTATTAGATAAAATTTTTAGTTGAGTATATTAATTGCTTAGACCTTTCCCCCAAAGATACTTTCTTTTGGTCACAATTGATACTGTTTCTTATAGACGTTGTTTGGGTTTCATCTGTATAGATATTATAGTACTCTTAGGCTCTTCCTGAACTAGACTGATAGTGTATAGTGCCAAAAATGAATTTATTAGCATTTAAAGGGAACTGCTTTTTATTTGGAGGGAGCAAGTAGAAAAGAGGGGATGAGGGTGATAATTGATTGCTGCCATGGATTGAATTATGTCCCCCAAAAATATGTGTCAACTTGGTTAGGCCATGATTCCTGGTATTGTGTGGTTGTCTTCCATTTTGTGATTGTGATTTTCCTGTGTGTTCTAAATCCTAATCTCTGCCTGTGGTTAACGAGGCAAGATTGGATTATGTTGAAGAGGATTAGGGTGGGATGTAATACCCTTGCTCAGGTCACATCCCTGATCCAATGTAAAGGGAGTTTTCCTGGGGTGTGGTCTGCACCACCTTTTATCTTACAAGAGATGAAAGGGAGGCAAGCAGAGAGTTGGGGACTTCATACCACCATAAAAGCAGTGCTAGGGGCAGAGCGCATCCTTTGGACCCGGGGTCCCTGTGCCTGAGAAGCTTCTTGACCAAGGGAAGATTGTTGATAAGAACCTTCCCTCAGAGCTGACAGAGAGAGAAAGCCTTCCCCTAGAGCTGGGACCCTGAATTCGGACTTCTAGCCTCCTAGACTGCGAGAGAATAAATTTCTTTGTTAAGGCCATCGACTTGTGGTATTTCTGTTATAGCAGCACTAGATAACTAAGACAATTGCTAACCTACTATATTTACATTAGCGTGTATAGTATTGTTTTCTAGTGTACACACATATCTGGTTTCATTTTATGTACTTTGATGTAATACAGAAAAAGAACATCTCAAATTAATTATGTAGTGTTTTATAAATAATCTTCTTCCAAATCTTTATTTTTTCAATAGTTGTAACAGAAGATAAAAACTGATTTGAGCTACCAGTTTTCTTCTGCAGTCACTGTTGTAATGGTTCTAAGTAAATAGTCAAATGACCAGTAGGTTGAAATAGTAAACCTGGAGCCCCCATAATCAGCCTTTAATTAATCAGTGATTGCTTATATTGGGTTAATACCCTCTAAATTATTCCTTAATTTGCCTTGTTGCCAGGTATATTTTTATCCAAAAAAAAAAATTTTGCCTCTTTTTCCATAGGCTTGCAGGTTTTATAAACATATACTGAGAATTTTGTTGCAACAGTGTAAAATATAACAAGTATACACAGATATGTGAATTCAGTAAGCCTTGAGATTATCACAGAAAGTTTGAGGAAAAAATATTTATCTTCATAAATAAATTAATGTATTAGCATCTAATTTATATTTAGCTAGCTCTGAAGGCAGTCTATTTTAAATAACTTATTTTTAAAATGTGCATATTTTTGTGAATGCTGTTGCTGTTAGGTGCCGTCGAGTCGGTTCCAATCCACAGCAACCCTATAGGAGAGTAGACCTGCCCCAGAGGGTTTCCAAGGAGCGGCTGATGGATTTGAACTGCTGACCTTTTGGTTATCAACTGAGCTCTTAAACTACCACGCCACCAGGGCTCCATTTTTGTAAAGAGTATTTAAAAATTAAGACTAACAACCTTTCACATAACAGTCATTTATGTTTTTAGATTTGTTGGAATCTTAAGTCCATGAGAATAAGTTTGTTTTGTGTCTAACAACAAAAAAAAAAAAAAAAAACCAAACCCATTGCCGTCAAGTCAGTTTTGACTCTTAGCGACCCTGTATGACAAAGTAGAACTGCCCCACAGGGTTTCCAAGGCTGTAATCTTTACGGAAGCAGACCATCACATCTTTCTCCTGTGGAGCAGCTGGTGGGTTTGAACTGCTGACCTTTGGGTCAGCAGTTGAGCGCTTAACCACGGTGCCACCAGGGCTCCTTTCTTGTGTCTAGAGATCATGCAGAAAGTAGGTTGAGTTAGGATTATAACAGGGCTTTGAATGCGTACTAAACTTTACAGCACTAGTTCTCAAACTTTTTTCTCTACACCATCCATACGTTCAGTACACAATGTTCAGCATCTGTCTCGTAATAATTCTAGGATTACAGATCTATTGAATAAGGGGAGAAGGGGCATGCATGTTTGAGTTAGGGGCCAGTGACAGGATCAAGCTTGTGTTTTAAAAACAATAGCTGAGGTAGCAAAAATAAATTTATATATGTATTGAAGGGGAGAGAGACTAAAATCAGGGAGACCAATTAAGGAGTTTTACCTCAGACTGAGAGGTAATCAAAACCAAATTCACTGCTGTCCAGTTGATTCTGACTCATAGCAACCCTATAGGATGGAGTAGAACTGCCCCATAGAGTTCCAAGGTTATACTCTTTACAGAAGCAGATTGCCACATCTTTCTCCTAGGGAGCAGCTGGTGTGTTGGAACTGCCGACTTTTCAGTTATCAGCTGAGTGCTTAAACCCTGTGCCACCATGGCTCCTTGCCTGAGAGATAAAGGCCTGACTTATAGTAGTGGCAATTGAAACAGAGTTGGAAGATAATTGAGGTTTCTAACTTGGTGATGACATTAAAAGAGCAGAATGTAAGAGGCCTAATTTTCCTAGTCTAACTTTGTCAGGTTACAACAATACGTACTATCAAGTTTAGTAAAGGGGGAGATTATACTGGCTGTTTAGCGCTCTGATTCTTCATACTTACTATCATACTGTGGATTTTGGTAAGTGAACCAGAGCCCTGTGTTAATTAAACATTAGTTTTGACATTTAATATTAAAATCCTTTACAGTATTAAAATACAGAGGTTATTTTTGTTGACTTTTAATATTATTCAGAAAGCTGAAAAACCTTTGAGTAGGTAGTAAAAGACAATGAGTTCTCAGATCTTTATCTCAAAGTCTAATTTTAATGCTCTTCCTAGAAATCTTCTAAGAGACTTTACATGTCTATGGGAATTTTGAAATAAATTATTTATACATTTTGATGTAATGTAACTAATATGTTTATTTCCTTTGAAGTAAAAGATAATTTCATAAGTAAAAGCCACACCTTTGATTTACCTGCCTATCTTCTTTACTGATGAAGGTGAAACTACTTTGTGATACATATTGTCCCAGATCTTTGTATTAATTGCCTAACAACAAACCAGTAAGCCAGTGACTTCTCCTAGTTTTGTATTTTAATAATGTATCTCCAGTTATATTAGGTAGTAGATTGCATGAAATTCT